GCTGGGTTAAAAAGGGACAAACCCAGCTATTGGGTTGTTTTGACCCAGCGTTTGGGTTGTTTTGATCCAGCGTTTGGGTTGTTTTGTCCCAGTGTTTGGGTTTTGACCAACTGCTGGGTCAAAACAACCCAAACACTGGGTCAAAACAATCCAAATGCTGGGTTTGTCCCTTTTTAACCCAACGCTGGGTTATATTTAACCCAGCATTTTTTAGAGTGTAAATGAGAGTTGTAGAAAACATTAACATACCACATTAATGTGGTTAAGGTTACAGAAAGGTTGATTTTGCATTTGGAATAGTTAAAAAAAACGTTCATACATCCTGGTAATTTTGTAAAATGATAGCCACGTTTTACAACTGTTAGGTCTATTCTTATACTGCTTAATGGTTTTTACATTACATATCTCAAGTTTTCAAGGAGAGGTGTACAAAACAATTTTACATTAATGTGGTTAACGTTGACAATGTTTAAAAAAAAAAAAAAAAAAAAAAAACCTTTTAAAAAACCAAATTAATCTTCTATCTATAATATTGCTTTCTCCATTGAAAAAGTTGTCTCTTCTGAATCAGGAGAGACATATGGGCAAATCAAGCACCATTTACAAGCGAAAGCAGTTCTAAACAAATATGGGTAACACTTTCAATGAAGCCCATATTTATAATACATTATAATGGTATTCTTAAGGCATTATAATGAATGCATTATAAAAAACCTTATAATATGTTATATCATCTTATAAATATTCATAAGAACAGTTTTAATGTATTATAATATTTACTTATTTGTGGTTATAGCTTTTAAGGGTATGTACAAAACAGTTTTACATTAATGTGGTTAACGTTGACAATGTTTAAAAAAAATTTTTTTTTTTTTAAACTCTTTAAAAGACAATTTTATTTTATACTAGTGTTTTTCCATCAATTGTTGATGTGTAAAGCGCATACAGGCTAGTCTTAACTGGCAGCAAAATTTGGTTGTTTTTTTGTTTGTTTTTTTTGACAGAAGGTGCTGCATATTTTATAAAGACATCACAATAAACATTGAGGTCTTTCCAAGAGAATATTCCTGTCTTTATTTATAGTAAGTCAACTAAATTAGCATTTACTGACAATGTTTTTTTTTTTATTTTAAGTGAATTTTTTTTATATTAAATCAAATTTAGCTTTTGTTCATGGTAAAATTTAAGTTGTAACAAAGCAAAAAATATATATTGACCTACATTTAAGTAAAGTTTTTTTCTTGTGACTAAAGAAAATAAATAGATTTAGGTAAAAAAGTAAAAAGTAATATTTAATAATACATTAAACGGCGCGTCAGCTCTTCAGCACGTGATTAATTCTAGCCAATGAGAACTGGAACTGCTCGAACTCTGCATCGTTAATGAGCTGTCATTGTACCGCCCAGCTCTGCACAACCAGGTAAGATTTTTTTAATTTCTCAGTTAATTTCTGAATTTTCTATCAAAATTGGTAAAATTCGTCAAAATGTTTGTGAAATAATTAATAGGAATTACATTACACATATTTTATTTTGATTAGCAGTGTTGCTTGTCGCGTTTTTAAATGACCAACGGTTATAACGGCCGACTAGCCCATTCAGATCGTTTTCTGAGGTAACGTTAATCTCTTGTAATATATCCTTTCAAATTACATATGAATTCATTAAATGTAATTATTTTACCATTTTGGTGTCAATTAGGTTTATTTTCCTTTGCTGTTTTGTTGTTGTTTTGATTACTTAATAACAGCGAGCAGTACTGGAGCTAAGTTCGTATAATGTCTGTTATAAAGTCCTAAATAGCAACATAAACAAGGATTTATATAGCATTAAACAATACCTCGGCTACACACGCTTATTAAATCTCGTTATCATTAATGTATGGCTGTTCATAACCGATAACTTAGGCATCGGTAAACTTCGCGCTGACAGGTAACGAAACAATATAACTTACATTCGCTTAAAGATTATTTCAAAGGTACAGTCATATTACTGTCATGTTAATGTTACTTAAAAATAATAGATTATAATAAATAATATCTTTGTTGGAAGAGTTGCGCGTCTCACACACGAGAGAGAGAGAGAGTCGTTAGCGTAGCCTACGGAATGTACCCATAAAGATGCTCACTGTCAAATGTAATCAGCCATCAATAATTAAACAATCAATTATGAAAATATATAGTGCATGTAAAAATATAGGCCAGGAAATAATATTAAGGTAACTTATTCACGTAATTATGATTTCTCTTGACTGTACCCAGCAAGCAATTTTGCGTTTAAAAGACGTCTATTAGACGTTTCCCTGAGTTAAACATTACGAGATAATGTTTGTCTGCCTGTGCCTGTTCACAAAGTAAATTTAATTTCGCTTAACACTGCGTGTAAGTGAATATTAAAAGCTCTGGGCGTTTTTTGGAATTTTCGCCTAAATTTTTCATATTCAAATTCAAATGTTTGCCCTACACAAATACAATGGAGGAAATAAATAAAAAATGGTTTCATTGTAAAGAAAACCCTTTGAACAAAAAAATATAAGTGTAATTCTTTATAAATAACATTATATACTTTTCAAATATTACAATAAATACAAAAAATAGGCGATTTTGGAGTTTTAAATCAATGTATTTTTTTGAAATTCTGTAATTCAGGTTCTATTAGGCTCAACTCTCTGGAATTTACTTTGTTTGATGCCACTATATGCCAAAAAGTACCAGAAAAAAGAATCTTTCAAATAACTGCTTCTAAACAGGAGTTAGAACATTATTTGTGAAGCGATTGCAAATGTCCAATTTTGCATCGAAATGTGTCATGGTGAGTTTCTCTTGCAAAAACAGGCTTTATAAAACACATTAACCCCACAATCCTATTGTACTCTGTGCCATAAGCACTTTAATTGATTATTTATTGAATTATGTTTCATTTTTATGTTTTTCTAAGTAGTAATATACAAAATGGCACAAGCGAATTGGACCAAACTTGTCATATTGTGATCTCTACACTCAGTTTAATTCTTTCAGGATGCTCAAGACTGTCTACATTATAATATTTATATGGTCTATAACAACCTAAAATAGAATCCATATCCTCCAGCTTTATATCATTCCATTTATATGCATTCTGTATTGGGATAGTGATCACAGCATCTCTCACCTCAGCATCTGTTTCTTCCTGCATCCAGCTAGGCTTGCCTCCGTGGTCCAGCTGAGATAATTCGCTAGCAGGCAGCTACATTCTACATTCACAGCGTCAAACAAACATATGTTAGCTCATCTACACCGCACTGTAATAATCCATGAATATTTACTGTATACTTACTGAAATGCATAATGTACTCTACTTTTCTGTCAGCAAACATTGTATCAGAGTGCTAGTATAGCGAACACGTTTCATAACAAAGGGAAACACTCTCAAACACACGGACAATCTCTCCTAAAGTCTTCCCAGACGCGCGCTCACTGCTCTCCATGGCGCCGCTGGCCGTTCTTCATCATATATAACTTGTAATTTGATAATCATAGACTGAAAGGATCCGAGTCGCGCTCGCTGCAACTCTTCCGTGGCAGAGAACAGCCTCCAATTCTTGCGTTCACGAACTACATTATCCAAAGACCACTGGCTGACCGACTAGATGGAGACCCACCTTTCTCTGGCTCACTGTGTGACGAGGTGGTGTCAGAGTTCACAGAGTCTGTAATGGCCGATCTGAGTGACGTGTAATCTGACCAATTGCAGCCCAGAACTGACCGCAGAGCTCTATAACATCAGAAGGGCTGAATGCGCACTGCAATGAGATGGAGAGCCGTGATCCACTGACGCGCTGGATTCCGTTACCTGGACAGAACGCGAATATCTCACAGATGGAAGCACGCAGAAACCTGAAAATGGTCTTGTTTAAAAGAAGAGATCCTAATCTAAAAGATAATATAGAGTTTGTAGATATTTGTGGCTGTTTGCGGCTAACTGAAGCAGTGCTACGAGTAGAAATTTTACACAATAAAAAATTCAGTTTTTTTTTTTTTTTACATCTCAATTCAATTGAAGCTAATTCGATCTATGATCGTCACACAATGAAATAATCTACATCGTCAAATTCCTGAGAATGAGAGCTTTCTTGTGATATATGACTTGACTTTTTGTGAAAAATATATCAAATACACATTCTTCTTTAAAAAAAGTTCGCAATGGCTAGGCGGAAAATCGTGTGTGGGACGAATACATTTCTAAGCTTAATTTTTCGGCTTTATAAATATGAAAACCAAAAGGAATGGTATTCTTTGTAAAGAAGACACTCCAAGCTTTCAAATGAACCCATATATGGGCTCCTACCATATAAGGAAGGCTATGTAAATGAAGCATAAACATTTTTTAGCGATTTGGACCCGTATCCGGGTCCGCAGAGTTTAACTTTGAGTATTGACACCACAATGTTTGATTAATGTGGCAAGATTTGTAGGCTTTACCTGTCCAGCATCCTTCTGGCACTGTCTTTGAGGTTTCTTCCTTCAACTCTGCACAACTTTGACACCTGAACAACACATGCCAATGTCAGGCGGGTAGTATTATATGTGTCCGTGTACGCGTGTTTACCAACCTTAAACACTGATGCCCATTGACCTGCAAGTTTTC